GCGACTGATCTGCCTCACCCGGGAAGAGCGCAATGATGGTGCCAACTTGGGCCAGTGAAGCAACGTCCTCCACAACTAGGCTGAAGAACAAAACGACAGCAACTTGTCTGTTCCCCTTCCCCAATTCCCCAGCACTGTTCCCATCCCCCCCAATCCCCCAATAAAAATCTTTTTAAAAAAAGAAAAAAAAGAAATGTGTATACATTTTTTGGCACCCTCTGTGTGTGTTTACATATTAAGTTGGCTTATTATTAAATATATTTGTATAAAATTACTGAGCCAACAGTAACAGTAAATTGGGATCAATATAAGGAAGATTATGACTAGGTAGGTGTTTTCTGAGGAGCATCCAGTGATACTCCTAACAGCAGAATGCATGGAATTTTCAGTATCAAGGTAACCACCCTTCGAATTGAGGATTTCAGTTGTTGGCTCAACTCAGATATTGAACCAAGATGTTTGTGACTACACACACATAGATACACATACGCTTTTCAAGTGAAATCTATGACAAGTAGACTAGAGAAGTCACTTCTAATTCTGTATAAGATGATGCTATTTATTATAAGACCTGGTTTATCAGGTTGACAAATTCTGTTTTCCAGGAAGCTAACCAATTCCTGGCATTACTTAATGGATAAACTTGTTTGGTCGCTCTAGCGCTGAGAATACACTAGAGGAATGGTTTGGCAACATCTCTTGAAATCCAGGAAAACTGACACAAGCGAAGCAGTTATAGAATCTTATTTTGTGTCAAAGTCGAATACATTGCTAGAGGCAGACAGATTCTTAAACTGATACTTCAAACTGAGGACATGGATAAAGACAGGAAGTAAATCAAGTGGCTCTTTTAGGTATTTCTTCCTGGATTGAGACTTTAACTGAATTATCAGCACTCAAATATGGGATTCCTTAAAAAATAAAAACAAAACTTTTGAAAACGAATAGCTTTCTTAAAAGTGTAGCAGTCAGTTAATGGACTTTGAAGTCAGAAAGACCTGGATTCCAGGAGACCTTGAACAAATCACTTATTCTCCCTAAACCTCAATTTCCTCACCTGAAAAATAGAGAAATTTGGGTATCATTTCACAGGGCTGCTGTGAGAGTTAAAAGAAAAAAAAAAAGCTTTCAAATTATTCCTCATGTTACCTAATACTTAGTAATGCTAAAGAATACTGGCTATTACTATCATCAATGGAAAAGGTCAACGGGAAAAGACTGAAGGCCACTGTATCCTAATACTTAATTTCATTCCTGAATTTTTATTAATCATTAACAATAACCATTTACTGAGTACCTATCATGTATTATACATTAGTTTTGAAAGATACTTCAAGGTATTCAAACTCTAGGGGTAAAAAGATAAACAACACACAAATATATTATACAAGTAAAGAGACTGAATTAGATGGTACACAAACTACAGTGCATAAACACACGTTTTAAAAAAACTTTTTACAGCGTCAGTAGCAAGAGGTTGTATAGATCATTTTACACAATTATTAACAGAATAAAGATTCTTTCAGAAAAGCAAGCTGTCCTAGCTATGCAGGAAAGCTTAAAAAATGAACTAAGGAGGAGAAAGGACATGAAAGCAAGTGAGGTGTAGAGAGGACAAAAAGGGATTGATCCTCAGTGAGTTGTAACCCTTATTAACATAAGAAGAAGGTATGCTAGCAAAGAACTCTTTAAAGAAGATTGGAAAAAACAAATGTGACACCACAGAAACCAAGAGCAAAGAAGGGCAGTGGCAGGAGTAGGCCAGGCAGGTCTATAGTGTGTGGAGGCAGAAACAAAATTTTAAAGGAAATCAAGAAGCTGGAGATTAAAAGAAAATTGGAAGTAGTGGAAATCAACAATTCATTTGTGAGCTTTACAAGTGAACAAGTTGAGGCAGGGGTAATAGTGTGCTATAACCTTGAAAAGATTTCCTGAGGATGGGGGTGGTCTGACACACACTTAAAAGCTACCAGGAAGTAGCACAGAGGAAGAAGTTAATTCTAGAGATTAAGAGGTTAAAAATCTAGAGGGGAGGAGTAGTCATAGAAAATAGAAAAGAGGGATCTATGAAACAAGGATTAGAGTTGAGGCTTAAAAAGTGGACGCTCTTAAACAGTCATACCCTGACCTACCTATAATATCTTTGGGGCTGCCAGGCAACATACTCCTCTCTCTTTAGTTCCATCAGGAAGTAACTCTTCCAGACCCAGCTATTACTTCTACCTAAAAGCAGGGTCTTAAGGCACTCCCACTTATGAATTCCCTTGGCTAAAAACCCAGAAAAGTGTCCAGAAGCACCATGTCCTTCAATAAACATTGTTGTCCCACATTATGTCTGTTTATTATGCCAGACACTCTCTCTTTTCCACATATACAAATCCAAAGCAATGTTTAAATCTTTGTTTTCACTTAACAATGTTATTTCTTCATCTTGCCAACGCTCTACTGCCAGATCGTCTAATCACAGAGATCCTGTGCTTCAGACTTTCTGAGTCAGATTTTACTATCTTACTCTTCATATTTCACACACTCCCACTAACTTCACCCTGTCCATACCTGGGCAAACACCATTTTACAGTAAGTGTAAGTAAAAAGACCTGATCCTCAATTCACAAGAAACTTTTTTCCTTCAAAGACATGGTTAAACCTTTGCTAGATCTCAAAGTCAAATTGTGCTATTTATTTTTTCTGGAATATAAGAGCCCTTCAATATTAACTGATGGTTCAAAACTTTAAAATACGTATTTTTAAATTTTTAAATAAGGTTAAGCCATTGCTTCCTCATAAGAATCAATGTATCATCATTATATTTTATTTTAATGTATAATGAAATTAACCTAAAGGTCTGGAGACTATAGGATTATGTATTGTCAATCTTAAAACTACAGAACTGATCTTTCCCTCCTTTGTACCTTTACGCAGTTTTGACAAAGTACAACTTACGTACAACACCTCATTGCACTTACTTGTACGTGTGCTTCTGGTTTACCTTACCCAACTGTAACTTCTTAAGGACAGGATAAACGCAGGTGCAGGGCCTAACACTTCGTCTGACACATAAAAGACACTCACTCAACAAACAGACAAAGAATAAATGGATAGCTTACATAGAACCAAGAAAACTGCTTCTTATCCTTTGTGTACTCCCCTAAGTAAGAATCAGTTCTTTACTTGTTACAAATGGCTAAAATTGTTTTAAAATACAGCTGTCATTTTAAAAAATATCAGAAATCTAGTTCTGACATTTCCATACTGATTCATTATATTGTGATTCCAATTTCAATGAAAACAGCTGCTAACTATTCAGAATCTACACAGGTGGTCAGATTCTAGCCAAACTGAATTGAGACTGGTCTAACTGGAAGTTCCCAACAGCCTGGGAACCCTAGAGACACAAGGTGTCTATAAATCACAATGATGCTGACTTCAAATGAAGTTATCAAACCAGAACCACACCATCCTTAATACTATACTCAGTTTACTACAGTTTCCTTTAACATTTCCAAGTTGTTATATATTTTTCAATAATACTTACCACTAATTTTCATATTGCACTTATAAAAAGTCCAAATGAACACTAGTGAATTAATCTCAGGCATTATTAACGGTATTTGCCACTATAAATGCTAAAACTAGAAGAGAATTCTAGCATGACCAAGAAAAAATGACCAATCCCATTTTTTTTAAATAACCACATAGTGTCAAAGCCAAAAAAAAGAGAATATTTCCTATTATTTACAAGGATAAGTGTAGTTTCCACTAGAAATTTACTGGAGCTAACGGCCAATATAAAATCTGACATGTTTTTATTACCAACCCAAGTTGTCAAATAGGCTTGAGTCTGGGGCTTAGAACAGCTCAGGAAAATATGACTGTTAACCAAAAAACCTGCAGGGACTCAAATTAGTTTTAGTCCTTTCCTCACTGGGCTAGAGTTTAACAAGTGGAATGAAAATATTAGTAAGTCTATGTTTCTCTCTTATCAACCCCTTGAGTTTATTTAGAACTATGGCAACTAAAACAAACTAACCAGCCTGAGAATTTGAATTTTCATCATCAATATTACCAAAATGGAAACTATTATTTAAGAGAGAGACTCTGTGTGTGTGTGTGTGTGTGTGTGTGTGTGTGTACACATACACACACACATATCCTTGCTGAGCCCTATATAAAGAAAATTAAAGAGCCAGGTTCTGGGAGAATTCAGTATTAGCTCTGCATGTCAAGGTCATCTACCAAAAAGAGAGAGAATAGTATGGGGGTAGGGGGAGTGCTGAAGAAAGCCAGGCAGTGCTTCTTAAATCAGCTTGTCTAATATACTGCAGCCACCAGGCAAGTTAATTCCTCCGTCAAGTAAAACTGACATGGGGACCAATGAGAAGGCACTGAGATCCTGGTCCTTTATTCTTTGGGGCTCGGGACCCTACCTGTATATTGGGTTGTCAGAAAAGTCACGACGTTTCTCATTGCAAAAATGTGTCACTACTTTTCCGACAACTCAGTAGTTCCTCTCCTCCCCATCACTGTGCCTCTTTACACTCACACACTTAAAATAAACTTTTTGAAAATGTCTTGAAATGTGAAAACAGGCTGACATCTATTTTCATGTTAGACAAGGAAATGTAGCCAACACATCTGGGCACTCTTAACTGGTTTAGCAGTCCAGAAAGCGGGGAGTGGGAGCTCTGCATGTCCTCAAGTATTTCACACTCCCTTTTGGGACTTAAGTCTGCTCCCACAGGACAAAAAGGAAGGACTTATTATTAGAAATATTATCATAAATATAGGTTCACAAATCAATTCAAAGATTTAGTTCAATCATCAAATTCCAGAGCACAAGATAAATGTTTGAAGCCTAGGAAGGATAAGAAGTATTATGTGCCCCATTTACAGTAAATGTTCAATAAGTATGTGTTGGATTATGTATTTAAATACCAGGCCTCACTGGTTCCTTTTCTGCTTACTGTCACAGGAGGCTTTCCCCAGAAGTGTGAGCACTTCTGAAGTAGAGCATGGGAAGGAAACAGTAAGCCCAGCAAGTGAACAAACCCATCCCTTACTGTATGAGGGACAGCTTGGAATAGAACAAGGCAATTCATTCAAAGCCAGAGTGTAAAGATAGGCCACCAAAGAGTATCTGCCTAATGTGACATAGCATACACTTAACCTCCTACAAAAATGACTTGACCTTGCTATAGGGTAAAGTAAACATTAATGATCCCCATTCACATGGGGCACTTCACAGATTCAATGAATGGCTTTGCAGAGTATTCCTTCACTGAAGTTTGCCCCTTGGTTATTTAGGACAATAACAAATACTTTGCAAGCCTTGAGATTGCACACCACATTATCACAATAACTGATCCAACAAGAGAAGCAAAATACATCTAAAATTTTATTTGCTTCTTAATGTAGTCCAACAGTCATTTGCTCAATTACCAAAAGGACATGAAATATAATTCAGTTCAAATGCTATGTGTGGAAGACATTAAAAGCTTTTCTTAGATTACATCTTCCCAACAAAAATTGCAAGTATTGATAAAAAGGAAATGATTTCACTGACATTCTTTTGTGGAGCAAATGCTTCTCTCAAAAGTTACATAATTTCAGGGATGCTGCAAGATAAAAATAATGGGTGCAAAACACTGCAACCGGATTTTTCAAAAAGTAGGATGTGAGTTATAACTGGCAGCCCCCGACCAATTCCTAGCCTCCAGCAATCTGCGTGCAGCTCGCATTTCTCAACCACACTGTTTATAACAGTGATAGCCCTTTTAATCAGCTCCCAAGCCTATCTCCCCGCACGCCCTCCCCCCCCTGCGCTGGGGCGCTCACAGGGCTCGAGAGCAAGCCCCGGGAACTCACAGGCTGGCCTGTGTGAGCAAAGGGAAGGAAATGACACAGGCAGGAAAAAAAAGCAAATCAAGGAAAAGACACAACAGCAGCTGGGCCTGCACCAGCCTCCAGCCGGGGCCCCACACTGCGTTCTCGCTCCCCCGCCCTCGGGCTCGCGGTCCGGCTCGCTCCGGCCGGAGCGGACTGCCCCGCCGAGCACGGGCCCTCGATCCTGCCACTGCTTCCTCGGGATGCACCCGCTGCGCGGCCCGGAAGGAGGCTGCCGAGTGGGTTCCGCTTGCCGGGACCGCCCCGGCGGGCCAGGGTAGCCAGAACCCCCGCCCGGACCGTGGAGCCACGGGCGGGCGGGCTCCGGCGGTCCGCAACCCCGGCCCGGCGGGCTGTCCATGCCTGTCAGGCAGCGGCCCAGGGTCCTCCTCCCCTCAGCCCGGGGCGGGGCGACGCGAAGCAGCGCGGGCACAGGCCGGGGCGGTGGCGACACTCACCCATGGTGGCGATGGCGGCGGCGGCGGCTCGGGCCCGAGTGTCACCTCCGCAGCCGGGGCTGCATGCCGGGGTCCCGGGCGGCGGGGACAGCAGCGGGCCTGGCTCCGCGCGGGGGACGCGGGCTGCCCTCGGGGCCCCCGCCGCCTCCCCAGGCTCCGGCTCCGGCTCCGCCCGCGGCCGGGCGCTGTGGCATGGGCAGGGTGGCCCGCTACATCCCCGGCGCTCCTCTGCTCGGCCCAGCCCGGCCTCGGCGGCGCCGCTCGGCCCGCCCGCCAGCTAGTCCCTCAGTCCCTCAGTCGTTCCGTCCGGCCACCGTTCTCCACCTCAGGAACGCTCCGAAAAACAAACCGCTGGTCGCGCAGCTCGCCCCCTTGCCTGTCACTCAACCCAGCACTCGCCAATCCAAGGCACGTGCTGCATCATTGTACCACCCCCCACTCACTTCACCAGCCAATAACAAGGAGGAAGTCGCTACACCCGTCACCACCCACTCCAACGCTCTCTTCCCAACACCCTCTTAGCCGCCAGCTAATCATCGGCACCGCACGATGAACCAATCCCGCCTACTCTCGCAGGATGCCAATGGGCGAAGCCAAAGCAGTTTCCAAGCGCTGTCTACAGCCTGCCCATCATCGAAATAGCGCCTGGTTCACTCCGCTGCTAGCCAATCACATAGAGGACTCTGAGCGCCCGCCTCTGCACACCGCTCACTGGCTCGTCCCCTCTCTCCCCGGGAGGTATTAGTTGCTCCAATCACAGCTCGCGCGTGAGGCTCCGCCTACGCTCCCATCTTCCGTCAGTCACCGAAAGCTCGGCTGATGCGCGGGCTGGCGCGGTTCCCCGCGGTCGATTTGGGGGCTGGAGTTAGTGATGGATGCTGGAGGGGCACTACGGCTTCCCGCCCTCCGGGCTCTCCGCGGTCCCGCGGTCCCCGAGGCCAGCGTCCTGCCATATCCTGTGCCCACACAGGGTGTGTAATCAGCGTGGAGGGTTCTGGCTCTGAGCGCTTCCCGGCGTGTGGCCACCTCTGCCGCGGGATCCCTTTGCGTGTCCTCCGGTCCAGACGCTACGCTTGCAGGGGTAGCCTCACTACTGCGCACCTTTTCCTGGGTCTCAGGCCTCCAAGGCCACACACACCCTCCGAGGGGCTGAGGTAGTGCCAGAATGTGGTTGGGTCCTCGGAAATCTAGGAATTTGCTGCTGGCCAGGGCCCAAACCAGTAAGTGACAAAGCCAGAAAAGTACTTTTGGGGGAAAAAAAATAAAAATCCTTTTTTTTTCTTTCTGGTTATAAAAGCACACAAGTTATTTGTATTAAAACTGAAAAAAAAAATCCCACCTCGGAGATACTTTTACCTCTTTCCTACCCAGATATACAACGTTTGACAAAAATGGCTTCATATTGTTTCGTGGTGTGCTTAACATTTTAGAAGTGTTTTCCCGTGCCACTGAATATTGTTCCAAAAACAATTGTACTGGATACATATGTCAAAATAGAGGGTGACCATAATTTCCCTAGTTCAACATTTTGTACACCCAGATCTTTCAATTCCAAGTCCACCACAATCAACAACAGCTCCCTTCCTCTGGTCCCTATGCCAGTGTAATATAAATGAGATACCAGAACAATCTTCCTCAGATGCCTTTTTCAGCTGTCAGCTAAACCTTTAGTGGTGGCTTTGCCTTGGGCGTCAAATCTCTTAAGAATTACCTTAGACTACACTCTTTATTTACACCTCCACCCCAATATTTAGCAGATCCCTTGTCCAGTTAATTTCCTTCAACAAGCTTTTAAGTCTGTTTTCTTCTTGATTAGATCCCTACCCAGTTAATTGCCGTTCCTATAATCATCTTTCTTTTCTGAGAAGGGTTTCTCAACCATTTTTTTCCATTATCACTCCCCCAAGGGGAAATTTTAAATTTAAATTCTTCCTGATGAGAAATGAAATACTAAGGAATACGATTTTGTCGGGTGGAGTTGAGTTTTGAAGGCCACACACCAATGTATTTATGTAAGCTTTTTGACCCATTAAGAATCACTTTTCACGCCTTCAGGAATATCACCCTGTTGAGAATATTAGGCTTATGCTAGAGGTCATAATCTGCCAATCTGAAGCTCAGATCTGACCCTTAATTTTATTAACCTGAGATAAATATTTTAAAAAGACATTTATGCCAGTAGAAATCTAGTACTCACTCATGGCCTATATGTGAAGGTCTATTCAGCAGATTCTCTTGGAATGTCTATGAATAAAACACATCTCCAATTTAACAGATTCTACACTGAACTCTTCTTTTTACCTCCCCCACAAAAAAACCCTGCTCCTATTTTCCCCGTTCTTAAAATACAAACCTAAGAATCTTCCTTGATTTTACTCTTTCCCTAACACCCCTAAATCCAATCATTTAGTAAATCTTTTCAGCTCTTGTTTCAAAATGTATTTGAACCCAACCACTTCTCACTACCACCACCCTAGTCTAGTCCAACCCACCACCACCTTCTCTGTTGGATGACTGCCCTAGTTTCCTCTGTGGTCACCCAACAAGTGATTCTTCACATAGCAGCTAGGGTGATTTTTGTACAAAGTAATTCCAATCATGTCACACTTCCCTGCTGTCAACATTTCAATGGCTTCCCATCACACTTAGAATAAAATCCAAACTCTGTCATGGCCTCTCTGGCCCAATAGGAGCTGCCCCCATCATCCTTTTCTACTTCGTCTCTACCACTCTCCCTCAATTGCTGTCCTTCATCCATACTGGCCTTCTCACCACACTTTGAACCTACCAGGCTCAGGACCTTTCACCTCAGGTATTTGCCATTTGTTCTGCCTGGAATGCTCTTCCCTAGAATGTTCCCAAGGCTAATTCCTGCATTGATTCAGGTCTCTGTCCAAATGTCAACTCTTAAGAGTTCCTAACCACCCCATCCAAAATAGCCTCTCACCCCTCCATCATTCTTTTTTTTTTTTTTTTAAAGGTTTTTATTGGGGAATTGGGGGAGAGGAACAGCATTGGGAAATCAGGGAAGGGGAACAGATAAGTTGTCCTTTTGTTCTTCAGTCTAGTTGTGGAGGACGTTGCTTCACTGGCCCATGTTGGTTTTTTCACTGCGCTCTTCCCAGGTGAGGCAGATCGGTCACTGGCCATTGGACAGCCGCTCACGGTGGCTCTTGGCAGCTCACACTGGCTGCCAGCCACTCATGGTAGCTTACAACAGCCAACTGCATCAGGGGCTGCAGCCTACGCCATCGCTGTCAACTCAACGCAACCCAGTTCCAGGTCAAGCTCTGTTGTTCACCATCTTAGCTGTAGAGGGCACAGCGTCACTGGCCCTCATCTGGGATCCGAACAGGAGCCCTGCTGCTCAGAGCTGGTGTCCCAAGCCAACTCCTAACCAATGTGCCACTTGGCCGGCCCCCCTCCATCATTCTGTATCTCCATATTCGGCCTTATTTTTCTTCATAGTGCCATATATATATATACACACACACACACACACACACACACACACACACACACACACACACACACATATCTTGTCTTTCCTTCAACTACATAAGCTGTGTAACATCAGGGTTTTTTTTTTTCTGTTCACTGCCCTATCACCAGCACTCAGAATAGTGCCTCGCACATAGTAAAGAAGAGCAGTACAACTACTTAAATCTTCAGCTGAAAAAAGCCCTCTGATTTTCCACCTTTCTAGCGACTGCTTTCTTTCAGGGCTTCTTTTCCATTGGCTGTCCCTTAACCAGCCACCTCAACCATTCCCACGCTGCAGTTACCATATGGACTTTCTTCTGAGCTTCAGAGAGCCATCACCCCATTGAGTCTCCCATAGGCACCTCAGATTCTACAGGTCAAAACTGAATTCTTTTTCCTCCTAGTTCTGTATTTCCTCTATCCATCTTCAGTCCCCCGAGTTGGATGCATCTGAGTTGTCGAACTTGGACAGCTCTTCCTTCTCCTCCCCCACAGCTAATTCTGACCATGTCCTCAATCTATACACTTCTCTCCCATCCCCGGCTTCATCATCCTAGTTCAAACCACTACAATTATTTACTTGGATTATTTAGTATAATAGCCTCCCAATGTGTGCTCACCTCACAGGGTGATCTTTTCTAGAATGGACACCTGATCCTGTCATGCTCTGCTTAAAAACTTCAGTTTCCCATCGCCTTTAGGATAAGTCAAATATGTGAATCTGGCTCAAAAGGCCCTTCAGGTCCCAAGCCATTCCTTCGTTAGCCACAAGTTTTTCAACTTCTCACCTCTACCAACCCCATCATTCAAATTCTATGTTCGGGCCATACGGAACCACTGGTAGTCAGTTCCTCAAATATGACTCTCTCGTGCCTCTATGCCTCTGATTGTGCTCTTTTCTGTTTTGAACAGTCTTCTCCCCTCTCGCCCCAACCCCCATTCTTTCAGTGAAGAGCTAAGCCTAAACATCGGTCCCTCCAGGAAGCCCTTCCAGACAGATACCCCCAACTCTGGGTACCACAGCACCTAGTACTCTCTTCATTAAAGCACTGTCCTAACTCTATTGTAATTGCCTTTAAATAAGCACAAAGACAGAAGCTGTGTCATTCAAATCTTCCACAGTACATTCAAAGAACGAATATTTGTTGAATGAATAAATGAACCTCAAATGAGATGTTAACAATTGAATATAATTTCCACAACTGTGCCCTTATAGCTATTTGTTTTATTCTTTTTCTATGCTGTCTCCCTCCTCACTCTTCATTTTCCCCTTGGGCCTTCCCAGTTGGGCCATACCTTCTCAAGTCCATCCTCCTGGTTTCACACTGAGTAGATGCCCCTGGTTAAGCACCTGAGCCATATCTGACCGAAGAATCACAACCTGCTCCTAGTGCGCAGGACCTCAAAAAGTGCTGGTCCCACAACAAAAGAACAAGAAAAACAAATGAAGAAACAAAACTCATAGACACACACAATAGTTTAATCGTTACCAGAGGGTAAAGGGGGATCAAATATATGATGTTGGAAGGAGAACTGACTCTGGGTGGTAAGCACACAATGTGATATATAGATGATGTATTACAGAATTGTACACCCCAATAAACTTTAATAATAATTTAAAAAGTGCTGATCCCATTAAGCAGCCCAATCACACACCGGCTACACATTTTCCTTTTTTCTTTTGAAGAGCATAAGAACACTTGGACACATGACAGGGAACAATAAATACAAATGAATGAATAATCTTAGGGGATAACTCAATGAATTTCGTGTAAAAGAAGAAACCAACAAACCTCATTTGATGAAAACTCTTTTAAAAATTCACGGGTATATCGGAATATATTCAGATTACCAGTTCAACCAGTTAGTTTATTTGCATTATTGAGGAATGATGTACAACATCATAGATTTTTACGATGATGTTTTATATATTAATGACATTTACTTCAAAAGAAAAATTGCTTTTCATTTTGAAATCCCACTTCTCTAAATTTATCCTAAAAAATACTTTGCAAGTGACCAAAGGTAAAGAATGTTTACTGCACACCTCTTATAAAATAAGACAATCCAAATGTCCATTGATAGGAGACTAGTTAAATAAATTATGGCACGCTAATTAATACAATAAAATACTATGTAGCTACTATGAAGAATGAAGCAGAGTTCTTCATACTAATACCAAAAGGTATCCAGGATATACTGTAAAGTGTGTTAGGGGGGTGGGAAAGGTTATAATGCAGAAACATATAGGGTGATCACAAATCAGTTTTTAAAAATGCTCATTCATTCTTGGTGGGGAAAAGGCCAACATTTATTGAACACTATTGTCAGGCACTGTTGTAAGTGCTTAACATATATTAACTTATTTAATTCTCAAAAGAGTCCTACAAAATAGGTACCATTATCCTCATTTTATAGATGATGATAGGTGTAAAAAAGTTAAATTCTCATCCAAGGTTGCTAGCAATGGGCAGAGTCAGAATTTGTTCCCCAGCAGATTGGTTCTAATGAGTAGAATAATAGCGAGTAGATTGTTAACGGTGGTTGGATCTTAGGAGTTAGGATTAGATGGGAATTTTGTTATATTTTTCAGTAACGTTTTACTTTTTCAAAAACAATAAATGTTACCTTTCTGGCATTGATAAAAGAAAAATAGGAAAAAGTAAGAACTGCTATCCCATTCACTGGGGATAAAGTGGTTTCAGTCAAAATTAATGTGGTATCTAGCACGACGTGTCAGAGGGTGTCAGTCAGGGACCGTCTCAGAGGGTGTCAGTCAGGGACCGTCTGGGTGGTGAGAGGCTCAGCTGAAAGAAGGCAGAGGTAGACAATGTGCCATAAATGCAGCAACAACTCTTTATTCATCCAAGGCCCTGGCCAGAGAGAGCAAGCAAGCCATCCAAAATGGAAGCCGGGGTGGAGATGGGGGTGGGGGTGGGAATGGTTTATACCCTCATACAAGCAACAGCTGCATGGTGCCAGCACACAGTGCTACAGGAAAGGAACTTAGATCAACAAGTAATTGATCTGAAACTTACATCAACAAGTTGTTTGTCTCTTCTCCCCCAACTCCCACCTAAGGGGGTGTGGCAGGCGGGTCTCCAAGCCTGTAAACTTTCCTAACTGAGAGGCCTTAACACCTGGGCCCCACACAGCATAACACTTTGTTTGCCAGACCTACCAGCTCTTTTCTCTTCACAGAATGGCTCCAGAGGAGTCCCTGGAGATTCAAATAAAAGTCTAGAAGTTGGGGTATCCTAGAGTTTAAAGCTTTATTGACTGCTTGGTAGTTTCAGAGACAGAAAAGAAAGTAACTCAACCACATGGCTGAATCTCCACAGTGGGCTGGGGGCAGAGCCTTCACTGATCCTGCTGGATTCAGCCAGGGCCTCTGGCATAGGGGGAGCAGCTACACACCATAATATGACTGCTTCTTGTAAGAGTCAAGGCTATGGACAAAGCATTTCACAGATACCTCCATCCCACTGAAAGGACACCTGAAAATGAACCCAAACCAGCAACAAGGTGCTGAATGATTCTGTGTTGCTAAGACAAGGACCAAAGATAAGGCAGAAGTGGGTCAGGACCAGATCCCATTCTTTTGATTTTAAGGGATGCCTGACTCCCACCCTCTCACATGCTGTCTCCCTAGTTGGACAATAATGTGACTAGTTTTCTTAAAAATGTTTCCTCTGGCGAAAGTAATGCATGACTTTAGAAAATAAAACTCAATTATCACCATCCAGAGATAATCAGTTTTGACGTTCTGATACCCTTCCTTCTAGTCTTTTGTAACAAAATGTGTGTGTGTGTGTGTGTGTGTGTGTGTGTGTATTTTATGGTATGATATATATTTTACAATTTGGACCATATAATAAATATAGTTTTGTGTATTTGTTTTCCATTTAATATTATATTGTAAATATTTGTTCTGATACAAAATATTCTTTGAAAAATAATACTTATTGAAAAATAACTTGTACCTTCTTTATTTAACTATTCAGTTAAATAGTTATTTAACTAACCTATGTAGCTAAGGGTCTCTTTACTAGATGGAGAGGCAGAACAGGTCCGATTAAGGCTTCCTTTCCGCCTTTCCTACGTTAACTGCAGGAAAGACTGTAAGGCACCGCCAGGGGTCAGTGCAGAGCCTTCCACAGTAGTATGCCTTGATGTAAGAAAATTGGTTACAAAAGAATCCATATTGGGGGACCAGGGAGGAAGAAGAGGGTAAAGAAAGTCAAATATATGCTGACGGAAGGAAATTTGACTTTGGGTGGTCAACATACAATGCAATATATAATGAATTGTACACTTGAAACCTACATAATTTTATTAAGCAATGTCACCCGATAATTAAAAAAAAAAATCCATATTAACAAATCCTATCTACTACTGTAGATCAGAGGACTATTTCCACATGAGTAGGCAAGTTCCCTTCCAGGGCGGGCTTCCTTAGTTCAGAAGCAAGCACATTCTACCAAATTAATTTATGCTCAGCACTTATAAAACAGCTATTTTATAAACCAAGGCCTATCAATACAAGATGTAGTATTAGACCTGTTCTCACCTGCTTGGTATGAGATCACTTGTGCATAAAATATCTGACCTGACTACTTTATAGGTTTGTTGTGAAAATAAAATATGAAAGTATGTATCTTATAAATTATGAAGCAGCATTTAAACTTTAACTTGCCCTATTTTAAATGATGTGCTATTCAGATATCTGGATGAGTTATCGCCTATAAAAACTAAAGAATCCCAGGTGGTATCATGATTATAAGATGAGGTATAACAGCATATACTTTGGCATGATTGTGGATTATTTCATTGGTTTTCCTCCCCCTAGCCTTCACTCTCCAGCTGTTGGAGTCACCTTGGAATTAGTAATCCGTTTTTCCTAGAAGCTGAAGTTATTACTTATAACTAATTTGGTTTTAGTTCTTTTCTAGCCTCATTTACCTGAGGCTTCTTCAGGAAAATTACTCTGATCTCAGAACTGGCTTAAACAACTCCTAAGTAAGTGAATAACAGAGATAAAAAACCACTCCAGCCCTCACATGCTTGACGGTCTCCAGCACAGGTGGTTGGCACTCCTGGTCCCTCTAAATCCAGAAGTGACTTAGGAGCAAAAGGCACCAATGGCCTTATTTCCCACCTGGCCAGGCTTCTGACTCAGCCTTCACCCTTCCTTCTCTTCTTGTTTCCTCTCCAGTTCCCAGTGCCCCATCATCTGGCATCAGGGATGAAAAGGATCTAGAGTTGGACATTCTGGGGACCAAGCAGCTTTCAAAACAAGCTGGATATAGTCTTTTCTGAGGGTAGCCCAATCTGCTGACGGGTCCACTCTGACAAATCTCAGAATATACAGGGGCCGGGCAAAGCAGGGCCTGAGAGTCCCTTATCATTGGTACTTGACTTCCTATTGGGCTAGAGCCTTAAGCTCCCTGGCAGAAGGGCACGAAGACCACATGAAGAGAACAAGGATGCGTGCACAGCAGCTTGCACTGCCCTGGGACATCTCTAGTAGAGAGCAGTCCTATGTCTTCCCTCTGAGAGCCTATGTCTTAGAGTAGGATCTAACACAGGGCACCAACTGAAGCCTTGTGCTCTTGATAAGTATAGTTCCTGGTACCTAGTAGGTGTTTGATAAAAGTTGCATGTATGAATGACAGGTTTAGGCCATTAGACCAGCATTAGAACACACAGTGCCTGGACAGAGCTACATTTCTGTAGCCAATCAGCAAACATAAACAACAGTCCTGGGATTGGAGTAGTGGAACTGAGCCTACAGACTTGAAAGGAAGTCAAGAGGGTCCCAACAGCTGGACACAAGCCCAGGAAAACACAAGAGCCATACGACAACAGTACAGCAACCTAGATCAATCACTGTTACTATTTAAGAGCAGTTTCTAGTACATGGGCCCTCAAGGCACCTACCATCCCCACAAAGGCCAACTTTCTGAGATCAGAGCCTGACTAGCTGATTGGCCCCACTCAGGAGCAAGTGGCAAGACTCACCCAGGAGGGCTCTGAGACACCAGCAGAGCTGACAGAGGCCCCAGAGAAGTATGGGGATTTCCCTGGCTACAAAGCTACAGATCTTGTGCCTCTGAACCTGCGAGGCCCCCAACCTGCTTCCCTCTTAGAGTACCCTGCACAAGTCTGTGCTCCAGAACGAGCTGCCAGTTGCCTAGTAAGGAGCCGGGGCGGGGGTGGGAGGGGGCACGTACAGTCCGGTTACTCAATGTTGTCATAGACCTGGATCACGTCCTCGTGGTTGCCGAGAGCCTGGATGAGGTGGGCGGCCTGCTCCAGGTCAGGGTCAGCCAGCCGCACCATTGTGTTGGGGATGAATTCTAGTGCACAGGACACAGGACACAAGCCCAGGGAGTCCAGCTTCTTCCTCACTTGATGCAGTGAAGAAGCATCACAAATAAACTGGGGACAAAGGAAAGTCAGGAGATGAGGAGCCAGGAGATAAGAGGACAAAGCCAGACAGAACTTTGCAAAACCTGAACGGAACTACAGTAATATATCGCTGGGTTTAAGCTATTTACTGGCAGAGATATAGTTTTCAATGTTCTGAATCCTTCTCATGGTTCTCAGTAGAGGAAGTCCTATCCACTATTCACTTAACAAATGTTTGTGCAATATGTGAACTCTTTATCTCACTTGTACCGTGGGTGCAGGAAAGAAGAAACCGAGAGAGGCGTGCCTTAACTTGTCTATTAGGGCCCTCTGAGAAGTCCACCAAACACTAAGGCTTCATACTCACTTTAAAAATGTCCTTTTCCTCTTCATCTTCAGTTTCCTTGACATCCTCAGCTCCTGCTTCGATCGCCAGCTCCAGGGCACGCTCTAGGTCCACTGCTTTCTTCTCTCTGTCCTCCACTCCAACTACAATCACCCCCTTTTTGTCAAAGGAATGGCGAGCTCCTTCAGCCATCACTCCCCTGACAGGAAAGTAAACGGACCAGAACGAATGCCTTTAGACACTCAGCCTCCACACAGCACTGCATAACACTGTGTCTTTCCCACCCAGCTTCTGGAGTACATACAGACATGGAGCAGCACTCTTCCTGAAGGAGAAGATACAGCTACCACTGGGCAAGGGAATAATCCAAACATATCCCCACCCTCTATTTTATACCCTGATTGGAGTATGGAGGATGCAGAGATTTTGCTCATCAATTCCTGTGCCATTTAGATTCCATGCCTGCTGCTACATTTTAAGACCTGGACATTTAAAGGCTCTAGATGGGATAGTGGGACAAAGAGCCTCTTCTACACCTGATGAACAGGTCCTTTGGATCCTGCCTAGTACAGAACACATTAAGGGAGAGTAAATTATCCCATTTGGATTCTGCTAAGGATGGAGTGTATGTAAAACTTGAACCACTACCAGGAACAACAGTCCTTTCCTTACACAGAACTAGTACCTCAAGGCTCCATCCCCCTCCATTCTCCACAGACACACACCTACCCATTCTTGTTCAGGATGTGTTTGATGTCCGAATGGCACTTGGAGCCACTGTTAGATAATGCCTCAATGAGCAGAGAAGAGCCACCAGGGCCTCGACCCTCATACAACAAATAAATGCCCTTGGTTTTCTGCAAAAACAACACGAACACATTTTCCTGTTTCCCAGTTCCCTCCTGCATGCCAGCCCAGAGCCACAGGCACCACCACCACTGCAAAGTTGACTCCATGGCATGAGCTCTCTGGGCTGCAGCCTAGACTCTTAAGTCTTTATTTTTGTCCCCACCTTCTGAGAGGAGGCCCGGGGGACCAACTTTTGAGGTAATTGGAATACTACCCAATACTTGGAAGGGAGTCTGTTCCTCTGGTCCCTGAACAGTCTCTTAGCCATCTCCCAGCTTTGTTTCTTCTCCTCCCCAGCCAAACTCCACATCCACTCCCTCCATTACTCCCACCAACACTCATGGTCTTATACCCTATCCTGCCTGAAATCCACCTGTGCTCCTACCCACGGGCTATGCAAAGTCACACACACACCTGGGCCTCACCATAAGAGCCACTGAAAATAGCATGGCCTCAAAATTCAAACAATCAATCAAAAACTCCAATGACCAATCTCTTCTGGACTTCCCATGCTGCCTCTACTCATCCCTTGCCCATGCATCCTATTTCACCCCTCTCTCCTAGCACCCTGTCCTGATGCCTTCCCAGGAACTCTCAGCTGATGACTTCTCCCTTCTTCTTTCACAAAGGAACTAAAGGCCCACTAGGTGGGGGAAAAGCCTCCACCGCCTTATCTGCACCACAGTCAACAGGAAGGCAGTATGTGTGATGGTTAGAGCAGAGGCTCTGGAGTCTGACTGTCTGGACTTGGTCAAGTAGCCTAATTTTTCTGTGCCTCAGTTTCTACTTAAAGATGTTTTGAGGATTCAGTGAGATAATGCATACAGAGTTCTTATCAAACTGCTTGGCCTGCAGTAAGCACTCAGTAATTATTTGCTATTAAGATGATTAATACTTCCTCAGATCCTTCCCACTTGTCCCAGAGGAAGAGGACCCCTCACCTGGATTCTACATCCCTGCCCGTCCCACCATCACTATTATCCGCGCCCTCTCTCCTTCTACTGGCTTTTGTCCTTTGGGCACAAATATCAGAAAAACAAACCCTTCCTCAATCTAACATCAAGGCTTTCCCCACACTGTGCCCCTTCTTTCTACCCCATCTCCTCACGATGCAGCTGAGCAGTCCTAGGCCCTATGGTTATATACACTGTCTATCCATCCTATTCCTGACTGTGCCCCCATAACCAATGGCCCAGGAGAGACAGCCACCAGAAGGCTCTGGGTTGAAGGTGTCAACTACATTGCCACCCTTCTCTCTGATAACTTAAGGACTGTTTGGTGGCCTTCCAGACATAGACTCTGTAGGGGCTGTGATCAATAACAAGAATGTCAAATTAAGGACACACCTCCATTTTCAGCGATGCCTCAATCGTTGACTTGGGCATATGCTTGCTGCGACACACCTCTAAGATGTTGGCCAGGTTGCTGTTGAGCTCAGGATTGGAGCCTCCTTCTGTGATAGAAAATCATGAGCCAAGACATTTCATTATTTCCAGGCCTGCCCGCAACCCAAAAGAGTGGCAAGTCATCACCTACCTTTCAGTTAGTTTAGAATACTTTATCCAGTGTTTGTAAGGGATATGGAGAAGTGTTTTGCAAAAGAGGTTTTTGATTCACTCTGTCTCTAAGAAAATAAAGGGCCCTGGCCCTGGTCCGGGAGACAAGCGAGCCTTTGGGCACAGAGAGGGCAGCAGCGGCCTGCGGTGGGTGACCGTTAGGTTCTCACCTTTAACAGCTAGGCGGATGCTCAAACAGAGCTTGGAAAAGATGCGACTCCTTTCAGCATCCTTGGGACCCTTGATGTGCCGGACTTTGGACCACTTGTTGTGCCCGGCGGGGACTTCCGTGGTGAGGTGCAGCGTCCGGCCCCGAGCGGGGCTACAGCCCCAGGGGTCAGGCTGGGAGCCTGAGGGGAAGTGAGGAAGAGCTGCCCGGGCCCCAGCGCCTAGTGCTCGCGAGTATGGGGCAGCAGTCCTGCTCAGGCTGACAGCGGCCAAAGCCGCCATTGGGTCCGACCCTGGGCCAAGGTCAGCAAGAGCAGCAGCCAAAGTCAGCCCGTCCCGTGCGCCGCCAAAACAAGCAGGGCCGGTGCCCACAGTCACCTCCACCTGTCACCGGTGAACCAAAGAATCAGGCCCGCCGGGAGCAGCCCGAACTCGAAGAACCCCACTCCATCCCGACAGCAGCCGGGAATCAGTCCTCTTGATAAGGTAGCACACTTCCTTTCCCCGGTCCGTTCTGAAAACACATCCCCATTGCCCGCAAAATCCGTTCCGCAGCTGCACGGTACTCGCTCCACTGTTGCCTCTGCGCAAAGCACAGCCCAGGTAGGGCGATCTGGGGTGGGGCGCAATCCCTTCCAGTTACCTGCGGAGAGCGCCGGACTTTATTTTCCACAGAGATCTGATATACATCTGAGTTATGAAACTGATTTTGGCTCCAAATTGCTTCCCAACTTTGAGCAGGTCCAGGATGATAAATGTTTTGTTGTTGCAAAGAAATATATAGTTCCTCATTTTGCAGGAAACGAAATCGCCACCCAGAGATGTGATTGCCCATTTAGTTTCCCTGAACTTTCTCTTCACTATCTGTAAATAAGAATGCTACTAGTAGTACTTGCGTTATCAACATAGGCAAGCTGAAAACACAAAATAAGCCCTTGGAGTTTTAAAGTAATAAAGTTTTATGTAAATAGCAGCAGCCAACATAGTAATGAAGCCCCGAAAATGCAAGAGTCGGCTTAAGATTCAGATGAGACACAAGTCATTTGTGGGGAGGGAGGATGATCAGAAGAGCCTTCTGGAGCCAAATTCCCCTCTCTGTTTTCCTTCTGTTCTCCCAGAAGAGAAAACAAGGCATTAGGAGAAGACAGACTAATGGTGTTGAGCATCTTTTCAGGCGCTTACTCTTCATATATAGCATTACTTTTTATAATTTAAAAATATATTGTACACCTTAAACTACTACAATGTTGTATGCCAATTATATTGTAATAAAACTGGAAAAGTATGTTACTTTTGAGTGGCAAATGTCTCTTTGAGTAGCAAAAAGCAAATAAACAGTATTTATCACCACAAATAAGTATAGTGGCCAAAACGAAGTTTGAGATTGCCTTAGCCCAATCAGCCTAAGTCCACCAGGGCAAACCTATAGTCCAACAAAGTCAGGCTTATTGACTCACTGCAAATTGACTGGGAAATCACACCAAAGGGAGGTGGACTGTGTCATCAAAGGAAAAGATAGTTATTATGGGATAATGGGGAAGGGTAGATGTCTGGTGAAATTTCAATGAAATAGAGTTTGATAGGCTCAAAGGAACACAGAACTGTATAAAGAAAGGATGGGGCCCGCCGAGTGGTGTGTTGGTTGAGAGCAGGCTTGGGATGCCAGAGGGCCCCGGTTCGGATCCCACCTATGAGGGCCAGTGACACTGCCCTCTACAGCTAAGATGCTGAACAACAGCT